CCACTACTAGCCTACTATACCTTACAGGTAAGAATTATGAACAATAACCCCACTGCCATTTTAGCATGCACACTAGCCTTCAAATACTCTAAGCTGTTCACCATTTCATCTAGTTTGAGTGACACTCTATATCCATAAGCTTCCGAAATTTCTCACAGTGACCATAAATGCCAAATGTTGTGAAAAGCATCAATATCTGATGTTATCAAGGCTTTTCATTTACCAAATTATGAAATCATTTAAGATGCTACCCTAGGGTAAAGGTATAGTATTGATTTGGTAACTTTGCTAGCATATCATGGGAAGTAATACCGTAGATGAAGATCATGTATGTATGCGGTACTGTTCTTTCATTCAGAGTATCATAAATAAAGAACACTGAAGATTTGTGTTTGTATGTCACTTCTCATGATATATTTAGATAAGCCTTGAGCTAGTAAGATCAGATTGACTTTCAGAAGAGTTATAATCATTTACTGTTCTTCTAAGTTCTAACTCAGAAGTCATAATAACATGCTAAAATACTTGAACCAGATATATATTATTGCAGCATATGTTATCCTTGTTGGTGATTAAGTTTTTATTTTTATTGAACATTGGAAATGATGATCTGATACTCTCTGAATTTATGAATGTGTGATGATCTTGCAATCTGCAATACTCATCATTTTTCTGGTAAAAATTTCCAATATTCATCATCTTGAATCTGAAGATGAAGTAATGTCAGAAATTCTCTAAGGTATCTTTCCTTATACAGAGTTTGTGATGCTTGATCCATATATCTCTCGTATTGTGCTGGCTGTGTTAGTTTCCCTTTTATGTTCTGATCGAACTTGAGTTTGTGTTGAAATTTATTTGTCTTATGGCCGTATGGGTATAAATTCTGATGCTGAGACACTAAGAACTGTAAATCTAGCCAGCCACTACATCCTCCTACTCTCGAATCAGAAACCGACAAATTAAGTATTTCAGTAAACAGATTACCATATGGAGTCATTGAGAATTTGAATTGTTCCCATACGGTGAAGCTATAGTCACATTGTAGGTTTTAATGGTGTGAGCCTTATAGGCAGTTGGCTGTGATAAAATGCCGAACTCCTTAGAAGACACCCATGTCATATAAGTTACGAGTACAGGTGAAATGAAAAGGAGAGAATTACAGATTAATTTGTTCCTGTCTTTCAGGTCAAGGGAATATTTAGCTGGAAAAATGTATGCGACCTTGTAATTTCATTACTAGCTTATACAGAATTTTAGATATTCAGCTAGATGAACCATTTTAAGGTGCTTTTAGTTGAGCTTGTATCATTAAACTGATTAGAAGATTTTAAATGGTTAAATTACCAAAGATTAGTATTTCTTGTGTGAAAGCTGCTATAGTACAGAAGAACATGATACAAATGAAACTGTTTGAAGAATTGTGTATGGGAATTCACGTAATTAATACACGAATGTATAACGGACACTCATTTGTATCACAAAAACTTTACGCAAGGATCGTGTGATAATGAAAATATAACAGATTTTTTTACTTGTTTATAGGCTTATTATCATATTATTTTCATTTAGTCATGTAAAGTGTGCCTAATGCCTTCATCAGAGTTGAGGACTAAAAACAAATTTGAATACAGAACCTTATATTTGTAGTTTTTTATATGCCCAAATGTCACGAAGACCTTGGTAGAGGTATACTTGACCATATAATAAATTTTGCACCACATCACTTGGATTGGTGATGTAAAATTTGCATTAAAGGAATTGACTACTTTGGTACTCCGTATGTGGAACGTTATAGTTGAAAGTGAGGACGAGGGCGGAGGAAGATTTGTTTTCAAAAAGTGAGGACGAGGATGGAGGAAGTATGAGGGCGGAGGAAGATTTGTTTTCAAAAAGTGAGGACGAGGATGGAGGAAGTATGTGGAACGTTAGTAGAAAGTGAGGACAAGGACAAGGACAGAGGAAGAGTTTGTTTTTAAAAATTGTGGAAAATCTTACTCCTTTCAATAATATACTCCGTATTTCCTATTTTTCAGATATTGGCCAAGTAAACATGAAATACGAGGGAGTAGATGTTAGTATGGTGTAACAACCAAATTTTAAAAATGTCAGTTTTTCTTAAATTTATATGCATACACAGGCCCACAACTGACTACTTGTACTTAAATAGAACCAGTGGATATTAGGAGCAGACGAGCTTGTACAGGCTGTGAGCATTCTGAGCAATTGACCATCCTAGCTAGGACCAATCACCAATGTATACAAAAATGGAGTTTTTTTATTACTATAAAAGGCAAAAAAAAAGTAATAAAAAAAAGTGAAAATTTGATTCTTTATTGTTAGTAATATCAGGTAAATGCATCAAGCCATCAAGTCATCTCCAAGGTCCCAACATTTTGACAGATTTCTCCACAAAAAATATTGGAAGAAGAAAACAACATGATTGTTGAAAGAGAAGAGCTCATGATTTCATCCAATAATGGTGGATTACCAACTTTCAGAAAAGTTCATTTTCTTAAACCAGTTTCAAACCCCACAAATCAACCTCATCCTGATCTTTCTTCTCTCTGCCTTCCCTTAAACCCGAATTACATACAGCTAATTAATAAAAGGGTTAGTTTTAATGGGATGTTAGGACCACTCAATTCATGGAAGTCATGGGTTGATAATATGGAGCAAGTTCATCAAGAAACATGGAAGAAAGTCGGAATCTTCGAGGCGATCCTGGCCTCAACGTACCACATTGTGAAGGATAATGAGTTGATTATAGAATTGGCTGAGAGGTGGTGTTCCGAGACAAACACATTCTTTTTTCCTTGGGGTGAATCCACCATTACTTTGGAGGATGCTATGATTTTGGGTGGATTTTCTGTTTTGGGAAGTTCTGCTCGAAGTCATTCACGGATCATGGAAGGTGGAGATATCCTTAAGGAATTGGTTGCTGCAAGGAAAAATATAAATAAAAGCAATGGTTTTCATGTTTCTCATAATAAATGGATGAGCTATTTTAGGGGAAAAGGTGGTGAGATTGAGCATGTTGCATTTGTTGTTCTATGGTTGTCAAGGTATGTTTTTACTACAAATTCTTATGGTAGGATTTCCCCTAATGTTTTTTCCATAGCTATTAGTCTTACTAGAGGTACTCGCATCGCGCTTGCCCCAGCTGTTCTAGCTACAGTATATAGTGATTTGAGGTTACTGAATGAAAAGATTGTAACCTGTAAATGTAATGGACAAGATCATGGTTCAAAACTTGTTCTGTGGGCACCCTTTCATCTGGTTCAGATATGGGTTTGGGAGAGGTTTCCAACATTAGGTCTGAAACCAAGTTCTCTTGCCCATGGGCAGCCTAGAGTGGCTCGTTGGGAGAAGATTAAGAAATTGAAACTCGGTATTTTGAGGCTGATTATAGACTCCTCTACTGGGGATAATTTCTTGTGGAGGCCTTATGCCTTACATTTGAACTGGGAATTTCCCAAGTTCTATGGTTATCAGGAGGTGTGGATTTCAGTAAAGCCGGAGGTGGATGAGCAATATTTGTCATTTGCAAAGTGCTTGAGGACGTGTGTGTTGGTAGGAGTTGATTGTATGGAGCAATATCTTCCACAAAGAGTTGCAATGCAATTTGGATTGGATCAAGATGTTCCCTTTTGCCATCCTAGACCGAGTGTTGTTTCTGAAGTTGCTTGGAATAGCTATGACAAACCACTTGATGGTTTGAAATTCTATTTACCTCCTCAATCATTTGAGGGAGGTGTTACCTTTCAATATTACGAGTGGTGGAGGACAATGTTGTCTGTACATGATGACTGTGAGTCGTGGAGGAGAAGCACGACGAAACTGAAGAAAGATTCCAAAGTAGTTTCTGATGTTGATCATGAATGTTCAAATTCTGTTGGTAGTATCAGCAGAAAAATGCAAAATTATAACTCTTCGTTTTGCAAAGCCAATGCACCTGGTCAGGCAAGGCCAGAGCACGCAGACACGTGCAAGGAGAATGTTGTGGCCGAAAAGGAGGAAAGAAAGGTTAATCAGGGCAATATGAACATAGGTGAAGGAAGCAAGTCTTCAGAGGGAAATCATGGACATCTTCAAAATGAAACTCGTCTTTCTTGGCTATTTCATGCTTGTAATAAGGCTATGGGCTCAGAATTTGTTGGCAGCATAGCATCTGACACTCAAGAGCATGTTTCCAATGAAGTTGGTTTGGTTAATGTGATGAATCCATTGATAGGAGTAGAGGAGGATGAACAAAAGTTTGAGTGCAACGGTATGGAGCAAGAAAAAGAAAAAGAGGTGAATGAAAGTTACATCAACACGGGTGAGGAAACTCGTACTCGTCCTGAAGGTGATAGAAGCTTATGTGGGGTAGAGCCATTGATTCAGGTGAATACCTTGCCCAGAGCATTAGTTAAAGATGAACAAGGTGAAGCAAGAGAAGATACCAGATCGAAGGAAGTGAATAGTTCACATGTCAATCTTGTGATTCTCAATGATGAAGATGATAATGGTGATTTTGATGCTTTTGAAGTGCAGTGTCTTGCAGTTGATGCCAGGATTAGTCGGCTTGAGAGGATGGTTTCTGCTCGGCTAGCACTTAAAGCACATTTACTGAAGTCTAAAAATGTAAGTATACATTAAATAGTAAGTCGGATTTAGTATGTGTAGTTGTGATAGGTAACTAATCTAGATCATGTGTATATGTTATCAGATCATTGTACTTCCTCCGTTTCACTAAAATTGCTACACTTGCCTATCGAGTATTGCAGTAAAAGCGAACAGACCCTAAGGAGTATGCTTTTGAGTGTGTAACATTAAATTAAGATGTAACTTAAGAACTCTCACAGTTAGCTGGGTGGCTCATTAGATCAATTTTGTAATGGAACAGAACATTGATTTACTCAGGCAAATCTAAAGTAATTTGTTGTACTTCAACAGGATCTCAGAAGTCAGAGTAAACAGAAATACTTGAACCATATATATCCTGCAGCATGTGATGTCCATTCTAATAATTATTGTTCTTGTAAATTTAGATTTACTAGTTGGCAATAATCATACTGTTTAATGCTGTGAAGCAAGTTTTTAAAGCTGCTTGTCTTTATACCTCACTTAACTATCATTCCTAGAAATATATTGCTTGATTTTATGCCCTTTTTGCTATGCTCTTCTGTCACAATCTTTACACGGTATCGATCCATCTCTTTCGTTTCGTGTTGCTTGTGTTTGTTAGTCCAGTCATTTCTGAATCAACTCAAGCTTACACTTTGTAAAGGAGGCTGCTACTAGTCTACAACAGCTTACAGGAAAGAATTCTGAACTTTAAATCTCTTGCCATTTTAGCAAACACTCTAGCCTTCTGATACTCTAATTTCTTTAACTTTTTCTCTAATTTGAGTCACACTGCTATATCCATAAACTTCTGAAATTTCTTACGGTGGCCACTGGCTACAACACCCATTAACATGAATCCCGATTCGATTGAACTAAATACAGCCAACTGTGATAAAAAGGCATTGTATATGTGATGCTGTTAAGACTATTCATTTACCAGATAATGAAGTCATTTATGATACTACACTAGGGTGTAGGTGTACTTATTTTCAGAGTATCATAGACAAAGAAAACTGAAGATTAGTGCTTTTATGTCAGCTCTCATGATATATTTAGATAGACCTTGAGCTGGTAAGGTCAGATTTGACCTAAACAGGAGTTATAAATTATTATTATTATTATTATTATTAACTGTACTTCTAAGTTCTAACTTAGAAGTCATAATAACAAGAATACTTGAACCAAGATATTACTACGTATAATAGATATGCAGGCAAGGCCAGGGCACACAGACATGTGCAAGGAGAACATTGTGGCTGAAAAGGAGGACAAACAGGTGAATCAGAGCAATATGAACATGGGTGAAGGAAGCAAGTCTTCAGAGGAAAATCATGAACATCTTCATAATGAAATTCATCTTCCTAGGTAATTTCATGCTTGTAATGAGGCTAATGGGTTGAGAATTTATTAGCAGCAGTAGTGACAGGCCCATCAGAAACACACCATCTTGCAGGGGGATCTCATCTGAAATTCAGGAGTATGTTGCCGGTCATATTAGGCTTGCTGACAAGATGAGTACCTTGACAAGGCTCGAAGAGGATACAGGACATCGCAAAAGCAACACTATGGTGCAAAACAAGGAAAAGCAGGTGCTTATGAATTTGGATGAGAAGACTCAAGCTCAGGATGAAGACAATGGAATGGAGCATTAAGCAGGGCTAAACTACTGATGGAGTCTCAGGTGTAACAGAAATACATCTATTGTGCCATGTGAATGTGTGATATCCTTTCTAAATAGTAATGTTGATTTTTTTATGTACAGAATTGGTAAATGATGATACCTCAAGCATTATTTCAAAAGCAAGTGTTATTAATGTTGGACTTAATGATTTTGATGATGACACAACCTTACTTACTTACAAACTAATAAGTGTTTGATTGTTTAAGTGTGTACTCAGTTACAAAGACTAGGAAAATGAAGTGTCCTGTAAAAATACCATGAGGAACAAGAAGGCCAGAAGCAGAGCTAGCCATATAGAAGAGTTCCCTCACAGGAACTGACGCTTCAGAAATGAAGATTGGAGAAGAGAAGGTAGAAGAAGCCTCATCAGAGAAAAGAAGTTCCTCCCAAGGAACAGAAGCTTCGGAGTAGAAGCTTCATCTGAGAACATGAAGACTAAATATATTTTTATAATTTAGGATTTAGGTAAGTATAAGATATTAATTTGCACTCGAAAATTCTGTGTGGAATTGGTCTAAAAGATAAAAAATTGTGCATGCTAGTTTTTAGGAAAGTGGTTAAGTCTTTAACGATTATCTTTTTCTTAACCAAAAAGATTTTATTTCTGATTTTCTAAAAATATATTCTGCAAATAAAATCTCCCACGTTTTCTGAAAACTTGCGGCCTACTCCTCCATGATTTTCTTCAAGTCATGGTCTTGCACATTGAGGAATTCATGTTTCCTTAATCTTAGGAACATGATCTTCTTAGTGGGTTGGAGTAGTGGCGTAATGGAATTGCTGCACAAAGAGGATTTTCCAAAGTATTTGTTGATCTATAAATAGCCATTAGTTTCAGAAGGAAAAACTCACCCTTGCTCACATTAGTTTTCTAACTTTTAATTCGAGTCAAGTGTCAATTCCACACAAGTTCATTAAAGTGTTCTTAATGTTCTTATACTAGAGTCTGTTTTTCTTTCGAGTTGTAATTTGGGGAAGTTCGAGTGAACTTTTGTGTATGAGAAAGAGAAGTGAGAAAGAGAAAAGAAAGAGAAGAGAGAACAGAGAAGTGAGAAGAGAGAAAGAGAAGAGAAGAGTAACAAGTTGGGTGACTTGTTCCTCAGGGTCTCAAGTTCGTAGAGGAACTTGAGTTTGAGTCTTTAGCTTGTAATAGGATCATTTGCCCTATTATAGTGAAGATTCTTTTCCCAAAATCTCAAGTGGTCGTGGTTTTTCTCCTTGTTAGGGCCAAGGAGTTTTCCACGTAAAATCTCTCTTGCTTCTTTAGTTTCTTTAGTTAATCTTTCAATTCCTTTAGCTAACTTAATTTTAATTCCGCAAAAAGTTTGGCTAATCTCTCATACTACAATTCAACCCCCGTACTTGTAGTATTCTTTAGAACAACAATTAAATACTGAAAGATTAGGATCTCATTTTATAAACTACAGAATAAATATCCATATTTCTAAATAGTTACCGTACCCATGTAGACATGTAGTGGATGATTAATTAGTTTAGCTGGTAAAAGTTTCAAACAGTTATACTCAAGACATTACTAACTCTTGTGGTTCTCATGTAAAAATCACTTAGTACTAAATTATGTGATGAGATCTAATGTTTTTTCCATATATAATTATCTTGAAAAGTTTTCGAATATTTTTGCATAGCTCTTAACTCCATTTTGAATCATTTTTACCTAAAAATAGAGGGGTATTCCTTTTTTTTTTTTTAACCTCTTTAGGAAGCAAAGTCAAAGTTGTACAATATGTATGAGAACAATAATTGATCAGGGAGAACAATAATTGATGACAGAGAGAAAAAGTGAGTGGGATAATGTATAGTAGTAATTGATGAGAGAGATAGAAAGAACAAGTGGGAAGATTTTAACAAATAAGATATGCGACAATCTTCTTATACTAACATCAGTTTTATAGGACAATCTTTTAAAATTCGAGTTAAAGTCAGAGTCTTTTATTGGAAAATTCAAGTTTAGTCAATTTTGTTATACGACTATTAGATAGAAGTTGAAATTTTTATTACATCCATCTAATATATAAATATAATTAAAATAGCAATTACTGACATAATATGGTCCACATGGCAGCTTTACAAGAAAAATTTACCTGCCTAAATAAAAAATGATGTCATTATATTTTTCGTTGGTTTCAAATTTCAAATTTTTTCTCCTCTCAATTTATTTATACTCTTTAATTTATTTAATTTTGTTGTTTATCAACTATTTGTATCCAATACACACTCTATGCTTCTTGTATGAAGTAATTAAGTAATATGAATACATACAATATATACTCTATATTTCAAAAAAAAAAAATCTAATATCGTGCATCGCACAACCCTTATCTAGACTTATAACAAAATTGTTACCCAATTAACAAACTTTTTAAATTTTTTAAAATTAGTTCAAAAATAAAATTATTTTTAAAAAAATACAAAAATTGAGATTCCATTTCTACATATTTATGCTCAAAATTACAATTGTTACCCATATACGAATAACTCGATAGATTATGTACCCATTTATTTTTCCCTAAATATGTAGTAGCTTATACATACCTCAAAACATGTTTTCAAATAAGTTTACATTCATATGTACCTCCATCACTTTTCTTTATCTATATCTATGCCTTTTCTCCATTAATCAATTATTCTTACTTTTTTATGGGCATGATAATTGATGAGAGAGAAGGATAGAAAGAACAAGTGGAAAAAATTACCAAAAATATGATACACTCTTTCAAATGCATTTATTTTTAGTATATGGGACAAATGGAAAGATAATAACAAAACAAGTGATATTCGTGTCTTGTACTCTTCCTTTCACACTTCTTACCACATATACGTTTTCTTAAGGAGAAAGTACACCCCAAATAAATTAATTCTCTTCCTTGTACTACCACCACACTCCTCTACCTTGGAATGTGAAATACATGCAGTGATGAGTTGTCACCATTAATGTGTACCTTCAAATCAAATTCTCCAATATAAAAAAAAAAAAAAAAAAAAACCCAAAAATTCTCAATTTTTTTCAACTCAAACCCCACAAATGGCTGAAAATGAACCCTTAATCAAAGAGAGACGATCTCTAATTTCATCACCCATTAATGGGAGATACACTGAGAAAATTGGCCATTTTCTAAAACCCTCAAATTTACCTTCAAATCAAGCACAAAATTTCTTGAACCCGCCTCCAAAGTACCTCCCCACACAACCCATTTCCCTAATTCTCAAATCATTTACCTCAAAAATTCGTTTTAATGGATGGACACAACCACTCCCAAATTGGAGCTCTTGGGTTGAGAATTTGCGGCCATCTTTCGAATCCACATGGAGATATCAATCAACTAATTCAAAGTATCCTAATTAGTGAAATGTCAATCAGCTAATTCAACTTATCCTAGCTGATTAGTGAAGATGTCAATCAACTAATTCAAAGTATCTGTCCTAATTAGTGAAGATGTCAATCAACTGATTCTATCCTAAATGGTGAAGATGTTAATATACTAATTCTATTTTAAATAGTGAATATGTCAGCCAACCCAGTCAACATTGTCAAAACAATGAAGATCGTTTATCAACAAATACCTAGATTAGATTTATTACTCCCTCTGTCATTTTTTTAATTTTTACAGTTGGATTCTTTCTGCATTTTGAGAAAAAAAAAAAAAAAAAAAAGGCCAAAGCATAAAGATTAATAACTGATGATGATCATAATCAATTGTTCTTTAATTCATTTGTGAATCCTTCAAACCAGCTTAGTAACTTTGAATGTTCTTGAATATTATACACTTTTTACTGTTGGTCTCATCCTACCATCTCAACCTGACCTAATTTTAACCCAATCTGATTTTAACTCTAAACAATTTCGAACCGCACATAATTTTAAACCCAGGCCAATGCAACCTATTATTGACCTCCCCCCCCCCCCCCTTTTTACTTAAACATAATTACTTTGATTCATATAATTAATAATTTCATTAATCCTTAAGAACTTTCCATTGGAATAATGCGCCATGAGCATCGCAATTTTAAATTTGTAATACTATAAAATAAAATACACTCCCTTCGTTTTTATTTTTTTGTAACACAACCTTGTGCCACGCGTTTTAGGTCAAGTTTATATAATATAAATGGACAAATTATTCAAATGTCTTTAACACGTGATATCTAATCCTACTCTAATCTTCGCGCTAAACTTATTTTGATGAAAGCACTCATTTACCTTCATATTGTAGGTATATTCTTCAATTTGATCAATTTGAGTTTTTACTATACTAAAATTCAATTTAATCAATATGTGGCTATCATCTATCAACTAGTCATTCATTACTCATTGTCTAACTTAAATAAGTAATTCATAATAATTGAATTTTAATTTGGCCTAAAGTTTAACATGACACAAGAACCGATTTAAAGAGAACTTATAATTTGCAAGTATTAATGACACGATATGAAAAATTACACATAAATGACTTAATAGTGACTCAATCATACTGTAATGACTCAATAATTACTAAAGTTTAAAAATGGCCTTATTTAAATATTGAATTAGATCAACCCAACCTAAATGCAGACAAATTAAAAAAGAATCTGAATTAGAGTTTATCCTAACCAAACTTAACTGAATTTAATCGAACTTGAATCACGACCCAAAGCTCGAAACCTGGTCAAACTAGATTTGAACTTGACACGAATTTATCCAAATCGAATATGAATCGATTTGAAGTTGATTTGACCCTAACTCGACAGATCTTGACCGTTGACCCAATCCAAACTAAGGTGGGTTAATAGGTAACCTTGAGCCAAACATACCTGATTAGTTGTGGCCATGTGGGTCAATCCAAACTCCATCCGATTATCCAAATTGACACCCCTATCATCGATAAGCTAATTGAGTGAGGATATGCGCTTGTTGGAACAGAATAGTCATATAAATGCAGTTTGAAGGATGATTTGGTGAAATAGAAATTCTAGTTGATCACTACATCTTATTGCAGCTTGTGATATCCTTTCTGAAAATTAAATATTTTTTGAATGTTTCTGTACAAAACGTGGAAATCGATTATACTTTATTAAGCCATGAATCTAGTTTGTGTGAGTTTGTCTTGCAATCTGTAATGTTCTTCATTTTTTCAGGTAACAAAATTTACATGAATTCATGAACCATGAGTTCCTAATACTAAAAATAAAGTAATTTTTATGATTTTAAAGCAAACTGTATAGGAAATAAACACATAAAAACTGAATCTATCTTGGAACATGTTATACTCTTTATAGCAATGATCTTTACAAAAAATTCTAACATAATAGTCGTTGATTGTCATCTATAAGATGCAACATTTATCCTAATAAAAGTGTTGAGCATGGTTAATTAAATTCTGAAATATTCAAATTTGGATAAGTAATCACACTTACATAAGCTGCATAAATTCAGCAAGCATCTCATGATTCAATAATATGATTAAGTTCAGTCAGAGTAAATGCAGATAGGACAGCAACCCAAAAGAGATCAAAGAGCCTTAGCTTGCCATATCGAAACTAATATTTACTTCTGAATCTTCATCTTGTGTTCATGAGAAATATAAAAATATTTCAAATTACAACACATTCGCCTCAGGAATACTTGTCGAACATCTTAAAACTAGTGTTAACTGGCAAACAGCTGAATCTTTACTGTGCTGCAAGAACATAATACAAAGGATGCTCATCAGGTTTCTGTTTTGGGAGAGACATCGAAACTTGAAAGGATTGCTACAGATTCTACTGTTAATATATAAACTCAGTAAGAATTTTGATATATTTGTTCCTTAGTTTGTCAATATCAAGTTGCAAAACAAGAAGCACCTCCAGAGTATTTGCAGAATGATTTTAACTAGTATGATCATGTTAAAATACTTTGTATACCCTAATGAAGTAACAATAGCATACCATAATAATCATATATTGTTATAGTGTTATGCTTCAGTATATAC